AAAAAAAAAAAAAAAAAGAAACAAACCCAAGAATATTGTATTTTTCTCTGTGTGCTCCCCCATAGGGTGTTTTGCTGGGTACCACTTGGAGCACAGATAGCCGTAGTCATGCACAGGACTGCGTTCAGTCCCCTTGCTGCCCCAGTGAAACCCACTGGCGGGTGGAGATGGTCCGACACAGTTCCCAATGGATAAATAACCAGCAAAGATGAAAAAAATATGGTTCAAACAAAACTGCTGGTGTCAACCCCTTCTAGATTTTGAGGGCAAGGAGGGAAACTTGGTACATCTAATTCAGGCAGTTGAATTTTACTTCCTGCACCGATCGAATTATTTAAGCCCATTTTTCTCTCTCTGGGGGCTGGCATGCCCAGGGTACAAGAGCCGGGAAGGAAGCCAGAGAAAGGATTTGGGGTGAGTCTGAGGTTTTATTGAGGCTGGCAAATCTCCCACAGGCTGTCAAAGAGGCCTGGGGCTGCTCACCACCCTTCGGGGGAAAAAATTCTGTGGCAATTATAGTTCCTTAATTGACTTTTAACTGACCCAATACCTGAGAAATATTCCCTAGTAGAAATTTCAAGATTTGGAGGAAAAAAAACATTTTGCCCAAGCAGTTCTTCACTGACATCTCTACCTCCCTGCCCTGCTCAGCCCCTCTCACCTCCCTTGACATGCGGGTGCTCTTCATCTGTCCCAAGCCATTGCAAGGGAGCTCTAAAACAATTTTAGTGATGAATTTTTTTGCCCTGAAGCAGAGCAGGACTGAGGGCACAGGAGCTGAAGAGATGAACTGCCAGGAGAATTGTTCTTTCTTAAACAGCACAACCCCATCCCCACCACCCAGAGAGGATCATTTGACTCGGAAATGTGCAGGAAAAATGTACCCATTGATGTGCCCATGGAAAAGCCCCCTTCCCATATCTGGAGCTGCCAAGCTATACTCTCACCTGCCTGTCATGCCAAGCTGTGGCCCAGGACTCACCTGCCACTCCCACATGCTCAAACACAACTGGCCTTACTCTCATGTCACTGGCAGGTGTGAACAAGCCCATGGCTAATTTTCAATCAGCAGAAGGACTATGAGGTGTTTCTGTTGCCCCTAAAAGCCCAGGAGCCCCAGTTCAGCACATCAACTCCAGAAGATGCAGCAGGATCCCAAGTCTGCTTGTGTTCCTCTTTGTGCCCATCATAACTGTGCTTGCATCTCCCAAACACTGACTCCTTCCCCTCTTTTTTCCTATTTCTCTTTGGGAAAGTTTCTTTTGGAGAGGAAACAGGAACATGGCTGCTTTGGCAAAGATGGATTTGTAGGGTGGGTCCCCTGCCCCAACAGCCAATGCCACGTTGAACGGATGGGATGAGGAAACATCTCCCCGGATGGCAGGACTTAGTTTTGCTGCTTATTTCCAAGGAATAATGCAGCTGTACCACCGAGGCAAGCAGAAGCCATCCCACACAGGTTGGAGAGCTTTGCATCAGCTTTAGTGGGTGCCAACTGGGACTGGATGGGGAGGATGAAAGTTCCCTGCAAGTGTCTCTCTGCTGCTGCTGCATGGGACGGCACCAGCCCTTCAGGCAGGGCTGCTCTCTGTCCTCTGGGGAAAAGCTGGTGGCTGGAGCAAGGTGTCTGTAGGATATGCACAATGACACCTCAGGACGGCTGATGGATACTGAAGTCACCTTAGCTTCAGAAATGTTCATTTTCTTTGCAAACGCAAAATATTATCTAGATTCTCCACCTGCCAAAAAAAAAAAAAAAAAAGCGCTTTCAATGGCTCATCAACCTCGTCTCCCTTTTTGCTTTTACCTTTTCTATCTTTTTTTTTTCTTTCTAGTGTCTCAATAGCTGGGGTGGGCACTGCTGCGCTGTGTACTCTCCAACCACCCTCCCTATGCTTGGCAGAGGGGGCAGCCAGCCCGGCTGTGGCCACCACCACCTGACCTGCCCCACGCTCACACCTCCCAGACTCTTCCTCCTCACTTTTGGCTGGGCTGCAACCCCACAGTGGTGCTGTGGTTCATGCACAGGCACGGTGTGCCTGGCAAACAAGGAGGTTGCAATGCACCCAGTGGGAGATGTCAAGTAAAAGGGGTGGGTTATACAGCTGCAAAACCTTGGGGGGCAGGAGGTGTTGCTGCTGCGGTGTGAAAAGATGGGACTTTTCCATCTCCTGTGCCAGTGAGAAACCCTCTTTGCTTCTCTGAGATCATCTTCAGAGAAGCACTGGGGCATGAATGCATGTGCTCTGGGGTGGGGGGGAGGGAGGTTGGATGTGACGTAGGAGCTCACGGGAATTTATCAACTCTTCACCAGCATTTTTGTTCTCGAATGTCACCTTTTGGAGATACCAGCCTGAGACTCTGCATCAGGCTAGAGGGACTCTGGCAAGTCTCTTGGTGTGGTGGGACATGGGCAACAGGGAGGGAGCAGTGTAACAGCTGTGTGGCTGATGAGGGACCAGCTGGGTCATGGGTGGCAGGTGCCACGGGAAGGGGACCCGGAGAAAGCCCCAGGGATGATGCAACTGACATTTAATAGCATGTGTCGGGGAGGGGAACAGCGACTATGAGGGAGAAAGGGCTGAAGGCAAAGAAGCCAGGTGCATCAGTGGACAACAGCATCACTGTGGCAGAGCCGTAACAAAGGGCATAGGCAAAGAGGTTTCTAGAAGGGGAGGACATACTCACCATTGCCCAAAACCCAGGGCAGCCCTGCCTGCAGGCAGGGAGGGAAGGAAGATGGGTGGCTGCATCAGGGCCAGCCCACGGAAAGGAGGGAAAAAGGGCAGGGGGAGAAGTGCCCAAAAGCAAGTGAGACCTTGGGGATCAGACAGCAGGCATGACAGGGACCATGGTGCAACCAACCAACCCTACCATCGCTTTTGCAGTGGAGCTGCCGTTCCCTGACAGGACAGCTCCATTTCTCTGTCTGAGATCACGAGGGGTAGACCCCAGGAGCCCATTTGCAGGGCATTTGAGCCTCCCATGCCGGTGCACGCAGGAAGGGCTCTCCCCCATCCCACTGCAATGGCATGCTCTCAGCCCAATATTTCCTCTCCTCTGCCAAGGCTTCATCCCACAGCAGCAGCTCCCAGGAGCTGCTCTCTGTGAGCTGGATCAAGCAGGGAGCAAGCAGAGCTTGAGCAAGGAGGATGTGAGCAAGGTTGGAGCAAGCAGGATTGGAGCAAGCAGGATTGGAGCAAGAACAAAGCAAGCAGGGCTCGAGCTAGAGGTGGTGAGCTCATCAGCAGCATCCCAGCGCTTTCCAGCAGAGAGGCATAGATGGGGACAAGTATCTTGGTACTGGTGCGGTGCTCTTCCTGGTGAACCTTTCAGCATTTCCAAAACAGCGGCACGTGATGTGTGGTTCTTGCAGTGAGGGTAGCAGGGATCCATCCAGCTGAGCACCCATGCATGCAGTCCTATGTGTGATGGCAATTCTTATTTAGGCTGTCAACTAATAACATATCTTAGAATCACAGGCTCGCAGAGCGGTTTCTGTTGGGAGGGACTTTCGAAGATCCAAAATCCCCTGCCATGGGCAGGGACATCATTCATCAGGTTGCTCAAAGTCCCATCCAACCTGACCTTCAGCACTTCCAATGGTGGGCCACCCACAACTTCTCTGGGCAACTTGTGCCAGTGTCCCACCACCCTCACTGTAAAAAAAAAAAAAAAAAAAGTCTTTGTTATGTTTACCCTAGATCTACCCTCTTTTAGTTTAAAACTGTTGCCTCTTGTCCTATCAATACAGAGCCCTGGTAAAAAGTCTCCATTTTTCTTATAAGCCAACTTTATATATTGAAAGGCTTCAGTAAGGTCTCCCTTGGAGCCTTCTCTTTTCCAGGCTGAATGACCCCAACTCTCTCAAGCTTTCTCCATAGCAAAGGTGTTCCAGCCCTCTGATCATTTCCATGGTCTCCTCTGGACCTGCTCTAACAGGTCCATGTCTGTCTTATACTGAGGGCCCCAGAGCTGGATGCAGTGCTCCAGGTAGGGTCTCACGAGAGCAGAGTAGAAGGTGGAGCATCCCCTCCCTTTACCTGGTAGCCACGCTGCTTGTGATGCACATAGGATATGATTGGCTTTCTGGGCTGTGAGCACACATTGCTGGCTCATGTCCAGTTTGTCACCCACCAATATCCCCTTCTCAGCAGGGCTGCTCTCAATCCATCGACCCCTCAATCTGTATTGACATCCTCCTGCAGGGAGTTATGGCCAGCTGTTGACACACGAGCCGGCAAAAACTTTTCTGCTCGTAAAACATGGAATTGTCCCCACAATCTGGCTGTGGAGGAAGCAACAGGTTCTGTTACTATCCTAGTTTGTTTCAATCTTGCCCACATCTAAAGGGTCCTTGTCAGAAGTGATGCTTGAGGTTAGGAGAGCCATCAGTCACCTTCCAGCTGCTAAGAAAGCTTTTGGCTGGTAGTCAGTAGCAAACCGTAGCAGGCCAAGAAGGGGGAAGTCATGGGGAAAGAGAGGGTGGATGTAGGTTACGGGCAGAGAAGAATAGAAAGGAAAGGATTTGTCTGCAGGCAGTGAATGAACAAGCTTAAGGCACTACCTCATGAGCTCAGTGTGGCTCTCCCAGGGCTACTGAAAGAGACTGTCTCTGCCAAACAGCTCTCGTTGGTGGTGCAGGATCTCAGCTGCTCCTCTGATGCTCTGGCGAGGTAGTTGAAGGTGATTTGGGATCTGAATGTGATTTAGCTTTTGCTAAAGATCTGCCTTCTTCCACCAAATCCTTCTTTCTGCAGGGTTTGGGGGTTCCTGGGAAGGTCCATACACAGCATTGCCAAGGATGGCACCGAATGAGACAGGCAGTAAAGACAAAGCCAGCCCTTCCCTTGATTGCCTCCCCAACCTGGTGCTGCCCGAGCTCGGATAAGCCTCTCCACAGGCATTGGGCAAAGCCAGTGGGCAGCAGCGGGGTGTTGCAGGGCTCAGAGGGTCCAGCTGAATCCCACTGCATCCTTTTCCTTGTCCTCCTCCTTCAGAGCGAGCCCGGGATTACCTGCACAAGACTGGACGCTTCATCGTCATTGGTGGCATTGTCTCACCCGTGCACGACTCCTACGGGAAGACGGTGGGTGGTCCCCATTTTCCATTTCTGCTTCCTACATATGATGGTATCTCTGAGGCCAGGGGCAAGCATGGGACAGCGCTGCCTGCACCCGTGGTCCTTTTCTGGACATCCTCTGCCCCAGACAGTTCCTGACTATGGGAAAGTCTCCAAGAGGAGGGAGGGGTTGAAACCACTTGCTACTTACATAAAAACTGCAGTGAGACCCTACAACCAGCTGAAGTACTAGACCGCAAAGTGAAATGTTCTCACCCAAGTGGTCAACTTACTGGGTTGGGTTTGGTTGGGTTTTTTTTATGATTTAAAAAACCACTTTCATTGTGGGGATGGCAATGATACAAACATGAATATTTAAAAGCACTTTCTGGGAAAAGAGGAAATCCAAATCAGGAGAGAAGAGTTTCCTCCTCTCCTGAAAGCTGGAGAAATTTAACCAAGAAACGACCATCTCCAGGTCTGGCCCCACTGCAGCACAGGACTGAGACTGGTGGTGCCGAGCAAATCTCACCCACTGGTGCATAACCAGGGCTGAAGCAAGGTAGGGTTGCCTCCCCTCCAGCAAACAGGAGCTCAAATAAATTTTTGTGGGCAGGAACACATCCTTCTGGCCTGTCTCATCTGAGCGAGCCCGATGCGCTACCCCAGAAAGGTCTGCAAGCCCAGGCTGGCCAGGGCATGAGGCTTTCCTCCTGTAACCATTCCTCCATCACCCTCTCTTGCAGGGTCTGGTCTCAAGCCGTCACCGCCTGACCATGTGCCAACTGGCTGTCCAGTCCTCTGACTGGATCAGGTGAGTGCCAGAGCCCACATCCATTGTGGCACCAGCAGCCCCAGGCAGCCCCTGCCCCTTCCCCAACACTGTGGTGGGAAAGTCCCACATGCAAAGTGGAGATGCTAGAGCTCCAGGATGGATTTTCTCCTCTCCCAGCCAAAGCCTGATTAGAAACCAGAGGCCTTCTTCTCCTAGTCCAGCAGAGGTCCGATGAGGAGTGTTACAATGTCCTTCAAGGGAGCCCTTTTGACTTCAGGTGGTCTTGCAAACCCCCTGCTGAGTCTGCGGTGTATGGGTGAAGCCCAAAGTCACTCAGCCCACCCCAGCCTTGTGCCATGGCACCTTCCCTTTCTACACCTGCAGCACTAGGCTACAGATTCTCCCCTTCCCAGCATTGCCACATGGCATCTGGCGGCTGAGGTGGGACCAAAAATATGTCTGAGCTGCCCTCAGGAAAAAGGGTTGTAATGCTTGTAGTTACATCCAAGCCAAATGAAAGCTGGTTAGTTGGGTAACGAGAGTGGAAAGGTGTCCAGGCACACAATCAGGTCCCTAAAGCTATTAGGGAGAGCTGGATGGAAGGGCTGAAGGAAGGACATGGTCCACAGCAGAGCTGGGGGAGCAATGGTGGCTGCTCATGGCACTGCTGGTCAGCCTGGTGGGGAGGAAGTGGCGTGGCCAGAAGGTCCAGGCAGTGGCCATCAGCCAACACTGTTGCTTTGCTGTGCTCCCTGCAGGGTGGACCCCTGGGAGTGCTACCAGGACACTTGGCAGACCACCTGCAGCGTGCTGGAGCACCACCGTGACCTGATGAAGGTGAGGCAGCCCCCATGCCATGGGTGCAGCCAGGGTGAGAGTGTGGGAAAGCACAGGAGTGCTGTTGCTCTTGCACCAGCACATGCACATCAACAAGCAAAATATGTCTGGGACAGACAGAGAAGACTTGCAGGAATGTGCCTGATCCTGACCTGAAAGAAGTGAGATACCTTGTCAGAGTTGCTTGGAGCTCCTTGCCCTGGTAATGAAAGCAAATTGAGCCCTCCAGCTGGAGCCAGCAGCTGTCCCAGTCCCATGCACACCAGGAGGGAAGCAGGGGTGAGCATAAGCCAAGTCATTAATGCTGACCACTTGCTCCACCCTGAGGGGAAGGAGAGGTGGATGGGCATCCCCACTCCCCAGCTGAGCAGAAACTGCTGTATGAACCGAAAGCAGTGACTCAGCACGAAAATTCAGCATCTGGAGAGTCCTCAGGGAGCACAAAACCCAGGAGGAAAAGTCTCTCCAAAGCTCAGGCAGGTCTGAGAGCCGAGGAGGAAGGCAACTGCCCTCAGGTGACTGCAGGATTGGGAAGAGCAGGGCTGCTGCCAACATTTGGATATAGTGAGCAAGACAAGGACGGGAAATGGATAAAACAACATCATACAAACTCATGGGCAGCCCAGACAAGAGGCACAGAAGTAGCATTAACCAGCCTGGTGGGATGTCTAGTGAAGCCAGAGAGCCCCTGGAGATGCCTTCCTTCTCCGGCAGGGCCTAGTGGAGGGGAAGAGGGCACATTTGCCCCCAGGGTAAGCTGCTGGCTTTGCACCACTGGTTCATCAGCTGCTTTATTTTTATTTACCCCTCAGAATTTATGAGCACCTCCAGGTGATGGAGCAATGCCTGCCTGGGGCAGCACAGCTGCAGCCTTGCCAGTGTCATGGGTCCATACAAAAAGTTAATCCCACTGTCCCCAGGCTTAATCATGAGTCATTATCCACATTATCCACAGGGTCCCGCTAGCCCCAGGCCCATCCAGTGAGATCGGATGGGACTGGGGATCCTAAAGTGCATTTGGACGTACCAGTCACGTATGTAAAGCTGACAGTCAGCCTGGGTGTAGAGGCTTGATACGGGGATTGTAAAGGTTTTGGGAGGTAGTTGGGGTGAAGACACTGTTCCAGCTACACCTTTCCTTCGTTGCAGAGAGTGACTGGCTGCATCCTCTCCAACGTCAACACACCCTCCATCACCCCTGTGATCGGCCAGCCCCAGAACGAGTCCTCGCAGACCATCTACCAGAACAACAATATCTCCAACAAGCCTACTGCAGGTAGGTGGCACTGGGGTAGGAAAAAGGGTGATGACCACCCACCCCTTACTTCCCAACTAGGGCTGCAAAGCATTAGGAACGGTGCTCCATCATCTAATTTTCAGGTCAGGTCACTCATCAGGCTCCATGCACCAAGCCCAGGGTCAGGTGGGGATGAAATGGGGGAGTTTTAGCATTCAGCGCAGCAAGGGGAGCCAAGAACAGCCTAAAATGCCTGTGAAATCTCACTGGACTTCAGCTGGATGATGTCCAGGCAGTGAGACCAGCCAAGAGAAAGGCTACCTGGTACCCACAGCGTGCATGCAAGGGATGAACTGTCAGGAGAGGTGACATGGCTGGATCCCTCACAACGCAGTGGGATGTGGGACATGGAGGTATTAGCTGGGGAGAAGAGGGGCATTATTTAAGTCCCATAAAAATGAACATCTTGTGATTTTTTTTTAGTGATTTTAGCTGTTCAGCTGGTCCCTTCAAGCAACTCTCAGGAGTTAAGACCACAAAAGGAGGTGGTGGGGAGGTGCTGAGAGCAGTTCCCTCACCCGAGCACAGGAATACTTGGCAGAACCAGGGTGGGTGAAGTGCTTGTGCAAGGCGGTTGCGCAGCCTCCCTCCCATTAATTTTCCTCCTTCACCTTTAGCAAAGATCCTGGGGAAGGTGGGAGAAAGCCTGAGCCGGATTTGCTGCGTTCGCCCACCCATGGAGCGCTTCACCTTTGTGGGTACGTAGAGGAAAGGTCCAGCATCACCTCTGGTTTAGCTCCAGTCCCCAGCCTTCCTCCCAGCCCTCTCTGCTAGGCCCGTAACCAGCACCTCTTTTTTGCTTCCCTTCCCCAGATGAAAATGCCAACTTGGGGACAGTGATGAGATATGAGGAGATTGGTGAGTACACAGCCCACCTCCATGTCGCTCTGGCTCCTCTGGGCCAGCACTACATGGCTCAGGAGCAGCTGCACAACAGATCTGGCAGTGAGTGAAGGATATTGGATCATCTCACCCCTGTGCCAGCTATTGGGACTCAGGGGTGAAACAGGAGCAGTGCTAAACTGGCCTGAGCCTGTTCCCATTGGCAGACAAGCAGCCTGAAATGAGGGAGCAAGCAGCAGGGCCCCAGCTCCCAGCACTGGCATGGATCTTTCATGGCATCATGCCTTGAAAATCACTCCAAGTGCCATCAGCCTTGCCCTCCCATGGTGGTGTCACCCACATCCTCATTTTGCCTGCAGCACTGCAAAACTTTGCACACAGCAGCAGGAGGGATTTCAGCTGCCCAACCAGCCATGGTGCCCCTTTCTCTAAAGCCCTTTAGGCTTTTAACCTCTCCTCCCCTGCTCCGCCCCGAGGCTGACATGCACTGGGCACCACTGTACAACACCCAGGGCTCTGCATGGGAAACTTGCTGGTGCTTTTGAGACCCATTCCATGGGCTGGCTCACATACAGCCTACCATAACACCCATCCATGCAGAGCCCAAAGGATCTGGCCACCTGAAAATGCCAACCAGGGAGGTACCTTCCCATGCAGCCACCACTTCCCACCCTTCCAGGCAGGTTTATGGCTTTCCTCTGGTGGCTGGGCAAATAAATTAATCTCTACAGTCCCCTGGGCTCTGCCTGTTGCCCTATGGCTGGAGCCCCTGCAGCAGATCATGAAGAGATTGTGGGTGCCCATAGCATGGAGAAATGACTCGCTTCCTTGGGAATACCCCACCTCCAGTGCTGAGGCACACCCACAGTTAAACAGCAGGTAGCAATGCTGACAACAACCCAGCAGCACAGGAGAGAAGCTGAAATAAAATAGGGTTGGGGGAATTTGATGTTGGGCACCAGTAGGGATGCAAGAAGGACTGTGGGATCTCTAGCAGGACTTGTTTTGGTAGGGGAGGTCTGTGAAGAAAGGGATCTCCCTGAGCAGTGCAATGGGATGGGATGGGGGGGGTGGGGATGTGCCTGCTCAGACCCATTTCTCCCAACTCTGAGCTTCTCTGCTCCTTTTCTTCAGAGCTTCGCATCTTACTGCTCTGTGGCAGTGACCTGCTGGAGTCCTTCTGCATCCCTGGCCTTTGGAATGAGGCAGACGTGAGTCACCACCACTGGGCACCCATCCATGCTCCTCTTCCCCAGCCTCCCTTCCTCCTCTTCCTTGTCTCCTTCCTACACTCCTACTTCTCTGCTTCCCACACCCAACGCTCCTGGGAGCTGCTCAGGTCCCTTGGGATGGCAGGAGCTGTGCCCAATCCCTACTACCTCCTCCATTCCAACCCTGACCCTTACCTCCCCTGCACATGGGCAGCCTGAGGGACAGGGTCTTCTGCTCCAGAGTCACCAACACTACCCAGCCTCCCCTTCCACAGACCCAAGCTCTGCTCCCACTCACTGTTCACACATGAACTGGCAGACATCTTCTCTGAAAGGCTGCAAAATCCAAGATGAGTCAAGTCTTGAAGCCCAGCACAAAGGATGCAAAAATTGGATGTCAAAGCACAGGCAGAAGAGGCATTTTGCACTAGCACCACCTCATGGTCTCCTGCTGCATGGATTTTCTGACCCAGAGTTCTTTTGGATGAGCCTGGTTTGTCTCACTCAAGATCAGTGGGAACCATCCTTATGCAGTGGCAAACTTGGCCACCACCCTTGGCACAAACAAGCTTGGAAGAAGAACCCTACAAAACCTCTGTCAGGACCAACACATCCATCCTGCTCATAAAGCCTTCCAGCAAGGCAGAGGTTGTGTCCTCCTCAGGCAACCTCTTCTGCTGCCACCCTCCTTCTACCATGAAGAGTCCTCCCTAAAGCCTAACCTCAGCATCTAGGATTTAACCCTGTGATGTTTTATTTCATTCACTGCAGACCACTCAACATGCCTTGATAATTCCAAGTTTCTGCCAAAGGCTGTTGAGATAGATAGCCTCAAATAGAATTTCTAACTCCATCCAGACCATGGCCCAGATTTCACGGGGTGGGGGGGTTGACAGGCAGTGGCAGGTTTTGCATGGGCTGTTTATAAAGCTCTCTCCACTTCGGGTTGCTCCTAGATGGAGGTGATTGTCGGGGAGTTTGGGATTGTGGTGGTGCCCCGAGATGGAGCAGACCCTGACCGGATCATGAATCACTCCTCCATACTCCGCAAATACAAAGTAAGTGAATGGCCAGGGAAGGATGTGAAAGGACACACAGCCTCTCTTTACCCAGTAGAACACTTTGTCTCAAGAGGGGATGCTCTCCGCTGCTAGGTGGAATGAGCAATGAGGCCACCACGCAGCAGCCCCCCAAGGCCACCGGGGCAGAGGGGCTGGTGGGGCAGACATCCACTTTTGGGCCATCCCTTCACTCCTTTCTCCCTCCTTCCTCTGCAGAACAACATCCTGGTGGTGAAGGACGACTCAAACCACCCCATGTCGGTTGTCAGCTCCACCAAAAGCAGGTGGGTGATGCAGGGGGACTCCTATTACAGGATGGGGATGGGGGTGCCCCCAGCCAGCCCCTCCATTTGTGGGGACAGCAAGGTGCCACCCAACCCACCCAAGCAAGTGCTGATCCCTTTCTCTCCCCCCCGCACCCCCAGACTGGCCCTGCAGCATGGGGACGGACACGTCGTGGATTACCTCTGCCAGCCCGTCATTGACTACATCCTCAAGAGCCAGCTCTACATCAACGCCTCTGGCTAAGCGCCAGAGGTCTTGCAGCAAGACAGCCCTCATGTCCAGCCTGCCTACAGTTCTCCATCACTCTTTTCTCTCTCTCTCAGTCCGTGTCTCCATCTTTCTCCCCACCTCATGGCCTCCTACCCGCGTCTGCCTCTCACCCCCGGCACCAATGCTCCTTCATGCAGCCATGTCCAGGGAACTGCAGCACAGACCCAAGGGGAATGGTTTGGTCTCTTTTTGGGTGGGAACCACCCTCCCCTTCATATGTGGGGAGGAAGGGGGGACCAGTAAAAGAGCAATGTGCTTGGTGTGCTTGAGGGGAGGTAGCTCTGGCACCCACCACCCAGCATGTCACTGGGAAATGGTCCCCCCGGTCCATCCTCCCAGCAAGCTCAGAGCAGCAGCTTCCTCTTCTGCATCATCTTATGGTACTTAAGCTCAATAAATCTAGGTGGGCTTTTTTTTCTTAAATAGTTTTAGTGTGAGCCCTTTGGACCTCTCGACAAGACAACCGAACAAATCCTGGTTGGGAGCAGCCAGTTGTAACCCAACCAGTTTGATGCCTCACGGCAGGCGAACCTCCTCAGACCAGCAGTAGGGCAATCCAGCTAACAAAATTCTCCTCCAGGCCCCGAAAAATCATGGAAAGGGCATTTCTGAAGGGGAGCAGAGGCCTTGGCAAGCGTTGCTGCCAAAGCATTGCTAGGGAGGATGTCATGTCTCACCTTTCCTGGCTGCAAGAGAACCCAACTCACCCCAAGCCACCCCCTAGGCAAGTGGATTTGGGGTGATGCTCTACTCCAACCCAGTGTCAGAGGGGGCAGCCCACAGCACCTAGAAAGCGACATCCATTTGTGAAGCCAAGAAATGAGGGAGGAAGAAGCAGGTGGTGACCCAAAGTCTCTGGTGAGAATTTGCCCCAAACCTGGCTGAGCTTCACGGGGGCTGGGTCCATCCCCATCCTCAAGCCTCCAGATCTCTGTTTATGTCTGTAAACTTCCCCCTTCTGTCCTACCCTTTTTCTCTCCTTGGAGAGTTTATTAAAATGAATGATAACTTTCCCCCTCCCAAACTGGCTGTGGCTACACTGCACATCCCTTGGGACATGCCAGGCTCCTGCTTTTCTGCCTGTGACATGCCCCCAAACGCCAGGGGTGAAGCCTAGTACAGATGCTCACATTAAAAGTGGGGCAGGCAACATGGAGCAAAAGAAAATTATGTAAGTCCCATGGAGAGGAGGGTTGCTGAAGCAGGCTGTTGTCCTGATGAGCATCCCTAGGATGAAAGGACCCTGCACAGCCCCTGAGAAAGGTCACAGCCACAAGGAGGAAGGTACAGTCCTGCTTTACTCCTCTCCTTTTCCTCTCCTTTTGCTATGTCTAACCTTGTATCACTTTCGGTATAGCCCTGTTGCCTATAGCTCCTGGACATCTGTCCACTCCCCACAATTTGGGCTAACTAGGCTCAGGCTAGCCCACACCACCACCTTCTCCCAAAGCATGACCATTGCCCATGCTGGCTTTGTGGCCTTCCTAGGGAGGCGCTATGACTAGCTGCTTATCCCCAGCAAGAGACAGTGCTGCACTGAGGTGCCTGAAGGCTGAGGGTCCTCCAGGGAAAGGTCTGAAATTACCTTTTTTTTCTTTTTCCTTAAATGTTTATGAAGGGTCACAAGCTGCTCTCACAGAAGTTCTGAAGATGAGATATTGTGCTAAATTTGGTGACCTGCTGGATGCTGCTGGTGCCTCTGTAACAGCAAGCAGCTCTGGACAAAACAAGGTAGCCTACAGCCACAGGCTCCTTGCAGCTAGTAGGGTTTTACAAGCTGTAGGTAATGACTTCTCGAGGAGGGCACAGCCCTTCCCAGAAGGGAAAGCAAGAGAGAAAGAAGTGATGTGACTTG